CTACTGTCCACAAAAGTAATAATCAAATTGTAGAATAACTTACAAACCCCATCTTTGGAAAAAGCATGATAAGATAAAAAAAAAAAAAAAAACAACCACACACACTCATGGGTCCAGGGGCGAGGGGGGGGAATACAAGCTATATACCAATTCTTAACACCACCAGTAAGACATTAAATCCTATTTTAAAATTTTCATTTAATTTCTGATAACCTTCTAACAGATACATGTTACTGGTTAGAAAACATGGCTCTAGGGGTACCTGGCTGGCTCAGTCGGTAGAGCAAGCAACTCTTAATCTGGGAGTTGTGAGTGTGAGCCCCAGAGGTGTAGAGATTACTAAAAGAAATAATTAAACTTAAAAAAAAAAGAAAAGAAAACATGTCTCTAGAATAAAGGCCAAGAGTGTGAGAATTCATTCACCACTACTACTAAAACAAACAAGCAATCCCTGACATTACGCCTACATTAGTGACAATTCAGGGTTAAAGTTTAAGTGTGCTTAAATATTACCAACTAATTGAAGATAGGATGGAGGAGGCTGAGATGGGGAAAACAGACTAATACCACGCTGGAACTAAAATTGAGCAGTTACATACAGAATGAGTAATAAAAACTTACTGGGGAAAAAAAAAAAGAAAAAAAAAAAAACTTACACCTAGGATCCTAAGGTGCACTCTCCAGGGTTTCCAAAAGCTGATTTAAAAAACATCTGATACGCTCACTTGATATAATGCTATTTTTTGGTAACCTGCTATTAACGGTCTTTGAAACAAAAATATAATAAATCGAACGCTGACTATAATATAAAGCACCAATTCATATACAGTCATTAAAATACTGTCAGACAATAAAACCATCGAAAATACTGAACACAGTATAAAATTTACAAATAAAGTATGATTTCAATAATGTAAAGGCTATGCATTCACTTGGGCAAGAAAATGAAATTAATTTTTTAGATCTACTTTAGCAAAATAGTTTTCAGAGCAGATTCCAATAGAAAAGACATGGTAATACAAGCAAAAAAATGTATTCCATCAGTTCTCTTTAATCTCGGGGATCTCTGAAATGGCATCTCCATTCTCATTAAAGGAACTTCTCCATACAGTGATAAAATGGCTAGATCTACATAAATCATAAAATCTAACTATTCTATTAACTTCAAAAACCTGACCGCAACCACAATATATAAGCCTCGAAATCCACAGTCAAAAATTCACTCTTTGAGGAGCCTGGAGTGTCCTGACCACCATTTATAAAGAGGGATAACTGCAGCATTTTTGGTCAAGTATTGCGGGGGGGGGGGAGGGGGCGCAGGAAACGGGACTTGACTTTTACTCACTGCAAACTACTGACATGAAATTTCATGTCACATTTTGATGGCCATTTCAATGCCTGGAAAAAACAGCCAAAATGAAAATTGCTAAGAAGCGTAGACACTATGTAATCTTATTAAAAAAAAAAAAATCAGGAAACCAAAAGAAAATTACAAAAATTTTTAAATCTACAAAAATAGTTTCAGCACTGTAAAGTTACACGTACTATATCTTGACTTCTATAAAAAGAATAAGATCTCTAGTAACAGGATGCAGTTCTTTACAAGAAAGAAACTGTTAACAAAGGCTATGTCTATGCTAGGACACAGCTTATCTCTCGCATTGTATACTTAACTCCTTTTCCCCCTCTAGAGCCCCTTACTCAGAGCTGGGGTCACACTGGTCAGGCCCAGGCCCTTTCTCACTGAGCCATGGACTATTCTCAATCTCAACACCTAACCACATATTCAAACTGGAACTTTCTGAAACTCCAGACGTCTTTACCAATCAAAACAGCAATGAACCTTTTTAAGATTTTTTTTATTTTTAAGTAATCCCTACACCCAACATGGGGCTGGAATTCACAACTGTGAGATCAGGAGTCCCATGTTCTACCGACGGAGCCAGCCAGTCGCCCCCAACAATGAATAGCTCTTTAAAGCAGAAACCTTCAATTTGTTGTGCAGACCACAGAATGAAAGTATCACAAACAAGATCTAAGTACCAGTGGTAGAAATAAATAAAAGGTAGTTGTGGATTAAGTAAGCCTTTTCTTTTCTCAGACCCCAAAGTGAAGGAGGCAAATTTTGAAGTTCAGAAACTCTTACAATTGACCAAGCATTAGGAAAAGGAAAGCTGTGTCATGAAAATAAAAGCATGTATTTATGTTACCCTTAAGTTTAACAAGTAACCTACAGGTTCCTTTATCTCCTTGAAATAGGATATTTAACTTCATTTAGAGAAAAGGAAACTGATGGTTAGAGAGCCTAAGGAAAGGAGTTTACAAGGTCCCTCAGTTATAGTTATGAGAGAGGATTTAAAATCAGGTCTCCCGTCTCTAGTGATATTTTCATTACACCTGGTTAAGAACCACTTTAGAAGAACAGGTATGGACGCAAGAACATAAAAATCTTTTGAAGTCCAACTGCTAGCTTATTTGATACTGTTGGGAGAAGCGAAAAGGGAGATGGCAGTAACATAATACAAAAAAAAAAAAAAAAAACCAAGAGTCATCCCAAAATATCTACAATGATGTACCAAAATAAGGTAAACTACCTAGAAATTAAAAGATATGAATAAAGAGGATATGAATAGCCTTCAAGAAACTGATTCTATGCTTCTGAAGCCAGTCCAGAGTTCTGGGTTAAGAACCAATTTGTCCTAGCAGCTCTTAAACAAGCGTCTATCAATGTAGAGTAACTAAGTCATGTTTGTCAAATTCTACTGAAATTAAATTCAGAAGCAACCCTTGAGTTTGTACCTATCAAACCCAGCCTTGAAAAGGGGTCATTCTCCACTTCTGTATCAATTCAGCGTAAAATGTGGGGAAGTCTTAAAGTAACCTAAGAGAGAATTAATGTTCAATCCTGATAATGGGTAATCAATAGCAATAATTTTGCAGTATAAGAAAGCTGGTAAGAATTTAAACACACCATTAGTATTTACAGATTTTCAGCAACTGATAGAGAAAATTTTTTATTTTTGATCTCTCGTAAGTAAAATATGGATAGAGTGTTTCCTGCTACCAACAGTACCAATACTACTGAAACTCAAGAATCAACCTACTAGGAACACTGCATCAAAAACTAATGATGTAGTGCTCGCTTCGGCAGCACATATACAAAAACTAATGATGTAATGTATGGTGATTAACATAACATAAAAAAAAGAACTCTAAAAAAAAGGAAACTACTAATGAACACTAAATTAGAGTATCAAATTATTTAAAGACTTTTTTCCTTCTTTCTTTTACTTCTGATCCCTAAGTACCCCACGAATATCCTGGTTCTCTCTACTCAGACTTGTTCACTAATATTTCAACCCCAAATATTTAAAAAACCTGAACCATAACAACTCTTAGTAAGCAATCCATTTGAGGTCCTTATCCTCCCAATTCCTTGATAGCCTTTCAGAATTAAACAGCCTCTAGAGACTAAATCATAACACAGGAATACACAGGACTAATTCCCCAAATTTAAGAAAACAGGAAGGTAATATCAAGAAACTACACATAATCCAGTTCTAAGAAGTTCAAACTAATCATACCGTGTAGCTTTTAAAACCAGGAATTTTGGACATCAAAAGGACCACTGGATACTAACAGGGCCAAGTGTTTACTTAGAAACTTTGTTCACATGCCTGAGGCTATATTAACTGCCAAATATGGAGCTAGACAAGGAATTCCCATCTTCTTTCCCTCTAACATACGGGGCTCCCTAACCGCAGTTGATGGTTCACGGATCCAGGTACCGGCAATCCTAACATTTAGAGGACTAACACGGTGTGTGGAGCCTTGAACCTAAAAACAGTATTTTAACCCAAGTTGAAATCTTAACTTGGGGGGAGGGGGATCAACTTTGCTATCATTGCAGCTTCGGTGCACGAGTTTTGTTGTTGTTTTTTAAAGGGAGCAAAGGCACCTACCCTCCAGAAAAAATTTGTTAAGAAATTAGGTGTGACTTGGGGGGAAAAAAATTGATCTATGCGGAAAACTGTAGATGCAAATCTATATTCACGCCAAATCGGCACAGAGCCAACTTAAAAAATCTGCTTTTAAAGACGCAGATAAAATTCGATCAGATTCGACTAACAAAAATCAACACTATCTAGGGAAGCTTATGTTCTTCCCGTTGACTATTCTTCCCGCACCCCCCCCGCAAAGTGGGGGAATAGGAAGAAACCCATTTCCCAAAGCACTGAAACATCTTTTCTATTCCTGGGTCAATATAGGATTCTCTGCGTAAAAAGAGCAGGAAAAGGTGTACATTATATACAGCCCGGGTTTCTGAACACTTTTGGGATAAACCCGAGGGGTGGTCACACACCGAGGAACACTAGGTGCTGGGTAAGCAAAGCGGCGGCTCCCTTCAAACCCGGATTCTGTTTCGACGCACAGAAATGGTGCCCGGAGGCCGCTACTTTCGCATCTGCGTCGCTTCTGCCTCCGCCGACACAGCCTCTTTTCCCCTCCCCCACGGGCGGGGCGGCGACGGCCTCCCCGCTCCCTTGGAACCGGGAATAAGAGACGCAAACCCCTCGGAAACAAGGCTGGTGGGCTCCCCACCCTAAAACATCCTCTCCAGAAAACCTACTCCTCCACGTCTCGTATTAAGCCTCCACCAGCGCGCCTTTGGGAGCTGCTGCGTCCCTGTTCCCAGCTCGCCACCTCATCTCCAACAAATCCGGGCCCCACCTGTGCCCTCCAGGCCCTCCGTCCGCACAACGCGCGCCGGTCACCTCCCTTCCCACGCGGCCTCCCATCCCTCACCTGAGAGGAAAGGTTTGGCTTCTTTCACGCACACACGGCAGCGTAGGCAGCCGGCAAGAACAATGTCTCTCTCCGCCGCGACACCTCCGACACTACGGCTCACGCACAGGACGGTTGCCTCGAGCCGCGGCGCGCGAAGGGAATGTCCCCTTCCGACCACCACACCGACCTCCCTTCTCGGCCCCCGTACACACCTCCAACCAACAGCGGCGGCGGGTACGTCGCGCGGAGGTCAGCAGGAGAGTCGCCGAAGACCGGCTGCAGCGGATTCTTCTCCCTCGCCGCCCCCTCCCTCCGACAAACCTCAAGCCTCGGAAGCTGGAGAGCCGCGAGCTCGTTTCCCTTACAACCACCTCTTCCCGGGCGCCAGGCGCTGCGGCGAGCGACAAGGAACACGGACGTCCCGCCCCCTTTGCCACCGCCCCCTCTTATTGTTTTACCCCTGCCGAAAGGGCTGGGGAACCCCCCAGCACGGCTTCAGCCAATCACGCATCTCCTTCGCGAGCTGGACCCAACCTTCTCGCGTTTCTCTGCGGAGCACGCGCAGAACGCCGCCGCGCTCACGTACTCTCGCGCCCAGAAAGCCGGGGAACCGGAACCGGCCTCAATCCGCGGCGAGAGTCCGCTGATTTGACGTCACAAGGAGGCCGCCCTACTACTGCTCTACGGCTCTGGCCTCGCCGCCCTTCGAGATTGCGCCCGAACAGGAACCGGTTGGCTGCAGCGGTGTGTCTGTTGCGGCGTCTTTTGGAGAGCGATATTTCTGGTCCCTTTTGATTATTAATGTTAAAAGGGAAGGAATTTTCTCTTTGAACTAGGTGTCTGCAGGTTGCTGCTCTAGACCATAAAATGCAGCCAGTGGATTCAGCTGTTTGCACCCTAAACTCACCTATATTGTTTATTAACCCATCCTAGGAAACGGAGGTATTAAACTCTACCGAGAAGGTCAAATTCACCCTAACCGTTCAAAGCAATATATGTTACGGAACCTACTAGGTGCTAGGCCCTGGGATGTAGAAAAATATGATGCGGCCTGCAGAGGGGAAAAGAATCTATTTCTTTGCCTGTTGTGTATTTAGATGTTGCTAAATACACACTAAGCGTTTTACATACTAAGGCCGTTAAAAGGCTGAAATCCCAGGAGATACAGGATTACAGCCCTGTCCTAGATCTAGGCCCAGACTTGGCCCCAGGGCATAGCTGGGAAAACACTAGACACTGACTCTCGTGACCTTGATTCATGGAAAAAGCCAAATCTCCTTACAGTCAAGGAAGCCACTTTGCACCTTAGTTCTGGCAATGTTTCTCAAAAGAAGATATATCAAGACAGCAGAGGCATTTTTGGAAGGAAGGGCTGACAAAGAAATGAAAGGGCAATTAGAAAAGGAAAGAACACATTTATTACATGCCCATGTACCAAACATAATGTGGGAATAGACATTTCATCAGTTTTAAGAGCAATTTTAAGGTATTTTCCACATGTGAAACCTGAGGTTTACAGAGGCACTGGCAACATCTGAACCTTCAAAAACTACAGTTTTTACCTTAGTTTGCTTAATCATTTTGTTACATGAAAAATATTTGAGAAGACCATAACTTTTATGAAATGAACTTTGACGTTTTTTTTTCCTTTGAAGCATAACATATTACATGAAGATTGCCCTTTAAATCTAATACTTCTGTACCAGGCACTCTTCAAATTACTTTATGTAATTGTTTAAGCATAACAATAACCCTATAGAGTAGTTACTATTTTATGCCCATTTTAAAAATGAGAAAGCTGAAGTTTAGAGAGATCAAATAACTTGCCAAGGTCAGACAGCTACTGTTGGGTGAAGCTAGAATTCAAACACTAGCAGTCTGCGATCACACTCCATGCCCTTAGAACCACAAGTTGTGGAATACTCTCACTGTATTAATTGTCAGGATTTATCTCCTCTACTACTGATTGATATTTTGATTGTTTCCAGTTTGGGGTTCTTATTCATAACTACTGTTCTTCTTCCCGAAATGGATCCTAGTGCATAGGTACAAAAGTTTCTCTAGAGCAATGATTCTCAGAAATTAACCTACATCAGAATCACCTGGAGTGCTTGTTAAAACACAGATTGCCAAGCCCCACTCCCAGGGTTTCTGATTCATCAAGTCTGTGTTGAGGCCTGAGAATTTACGTTTCTAACAAGTTCCCAGGTGATGAATCTACTGCTCCTCTCCTAACCACACTTTGTTTTTTTTTAAAGATTTTATTTATTTATTTGACAGAGAGATAGCGAGCACAAGTAGGCAGAGTGGCAGGCAGAGGGAGAGGGAGAAGCAGGCTCTCCGCTGAGCAGGGAGCCAGACGTGGGGCTCGATCCCAGGACCGCAGGATCATGACCTGAGCCAAAGGCAGCTGCTTAACCGACTGAGCCACCCAGGCGCCCCCTAACCACACTTTAAAAACCACTGACTGGGGCGCCTGGCTGGCTCAGCCAGTGAAGCATACGACTCTTGATGTCGGGGTTGTGAGTTCAAGCCCCACGTTGGGTGTAGAGATTACTTAAAAAAATCTTAAAAAAAAAAAAAAATGGGCACCTGGTGGCTCAGTCGTTAGGAGTCTGCCTTTGGCTCGGGGTCGTGATCCCAGGGTCCTGGATCGAGCCCTGAATCAGGCTCCCTGCTTGGTGGGAGGCCTGCTTCTCCCTCTCCCACTCCCCCTGCTTGTGTTCCCTCTCTCGCTGTCTCTGTCAAATAAATAAAAATTTAAAAATCTTAAAAAAAAAAAGCCACTGACCTATGGCATGGGTTGGCAAACTCTGGTCCTGTAAAGGACCAGAGAGTGAATATGTTAAGTTTTGAGGGCCACAAATGGTCTTTATTACATATCCCACCCTACCCCCTTTTAAAATCCTTTAAAAATGTAAAGAAACAGGGCCACCTGGATGGCTTAGGTCAGTTCAGCACCAGACTCTTGGTTTTGGCTCAGGTCATGATCTCAGGGTTGTGAGATGGAACCTGGCCTTGGGCTCCACACTCAGCAGGGAGTCTGCTTGAGGTTCTCTCTCTCCCTTTGCCCTTCCCTCCACTCGGGTGCGAGCTTTCTCTAAAATAAATAAATCATCTTTTTTTTTAAGATTTTATTTATTCATTTGAGAGAGAGAGACAGAGACAGAGAGAGCACAAACGGGGAGAGGCAGAGGGAGAAGTCGACTCCCCGATGAGCTGGGAGCCAGACATGGGGCTCGATCCCAGGACCTAGAGATCATGACCTGAGCCAAAGGTAGACACTTAACCGACTGAGCCACCCAGGCGCCCCTGAAATAAATAAATCTTAAAAAAAAAAAAAAAAAAAAAGATTCTCGGGTGCCTGGGTGGCTCAGTTGGTTAAGCGACTACCTTTGGCCCAGGTTATGATCCTGGAGTCCCGGGATCGAGTCCCATGTAGGGCTCCTTGCTCAGCAGGGAGTCTGCTTCTCCCTCTGACCCTCTTCCCTCTCGTGCTATCTCTCATTCTCTCTCTCTCAAATAAATAAATAAAATCTTTAAAAAAAAAAGATTCTCTCCCTCTGCCCCTCCCTCCTTGCTCTCTCTCAAAAAAACAAAAAAATAAGAAACCATTTTTGCTTAGCTCTAGGGCTATCCAAAAACAGGACTTAGGCAACCCCTGCTCTAGGATAAATACCAATAAGTGAGGTAGTGGGGAAGAAAGATTCAGCTATCCTCAATTTTAGTAAAAAACCATAAACTGTTTTCCTAAGTAGTGATTTTTACTTCGTAATTATCTCTCAAGTCTGTGCCCTTTGAATGCCTCTCCATACTTACAGCCTCTGCCCAGGTTCAGGACCCTTTCATCTTTCCAGAATGATTGCAGTACCCTCCTAATGTCCCTGCCCTTCAAATACAATTTCCATGAAACACCCTCTGCCCTAATTGACTGTAAGCCAGGGAACCAGTATGAATTGCATTCATTCAGTGGCACAAGCCAAAAACCTTTAAGTCACCCTTGACTCTCACACCACACAGCCAATCATCAATAAACTTCTATTCCCTCTACCATCAATATTTAATCTGGATAAACACTTCTCATCACTATTACTACTATTATCATAGTCTAGGCTACCATCGCCTACTGCAACAGCCTTCCACTTTGTCTTGATGCTTCCACCCTTATCCCGCTACAGTCTAGTCTCACAGGCACAGCAACCAGATCCTTTATAGCTACAATCAGATGACATTTTCAAAACCTTCCAAAGGTGGGCCACCTGGGTGGCTCAGTCATTAAGCGTCTGTGTCTGCCTTCGGCTCAGGTCATGATCCCAGGGTCCTGGGATCAAGCCCCGCATCAGGCTCCCTGACCTCAAAAGAGCATCTGTGAAGAGACTCTAGTTTAAAGTTTTTTCTGATACGATGTCCCTTTACCCCTAAACACTTCAGTGTGTATTTCTTAAAAGACAAGGACATTGTCTTACATAACTACAATTATCAAAATCAGAAATTAACATTTATACGATACTATAATCTATAGACATTGAAATTTCATCAATTGTCCATCTAATACCCTTTATAGCAAAAGAAAAAAATTGTTTCCTGGTGCAAGATACAATTCAGGATTACAGGGGCACCTGGGTGGCTCAGTCGGTTAAGCATCCAACTCTTGCTTTTCGCCCAAGTCACAATCTCAGTATTGTGAGATCTAGCCCCACATCGGGCTCAGTGCAGAGTCTGCTTAAGATTCTCTCTACCTCTCCCTCTGCCCCTGCTGCTCATGCTCTCTCTTTCTCTTTCTAAAATAAATACATAAATCTTAAAAAAAAAAAAAAACAAGTTAGGGTTACAAAGCCATTTAGTTGCCAGTCACCTTCGTCTTCTGTAGTTTGGAGTAGTTTCTCAGTCTTTTTCTTCTTTGACAATGATATTCTTAGAGTACAGGACAATTATGTTGAAGAATGCCCCTGAATTTGGTAACCTCTAATGTTTCCTTATATTTAGATCTAGATTGTGTATTTTTGGCAAAAATACCAGAGAAATACTGTTCTGCCCTTCTCAGTTCATCATACCAGGAGGCAACTGATGTCCATTTGTCCCATAATGACTATGTTAGCTTTCATCACCTGATTGAAGCTGTGTCTCCCAGGATTCTCCACTGTACAGTTACTATTTGTAATTAGGGTCCTACTTTGAGATGATGTAGGGTCCTACTTTGTGTAAGGTCCTACTCTGAGATGATGTACA